AGTGGATCTATGTTTATGAAATGACCAGAGATGTTCATAGTCCGAACAGCAGGTTTCAAAACATTCTGTATTTTATGATCCTACTGCCAAGTAACATGCAGAGAAAAGGCAGTGCCCATCCAAATATTAACAGTGTTTCCAGTGGTGGGATTAAAAGAGATCTGTGTTTTCTGTTCTGTAGTCTTTGACATTTTCTGAACATTTTGCAATGAGCATATATTACATTGATCGATTGATGATGGATTGATTGGGACAGGGTCTCATTTGTCACCCAGACTGGAGTGCAGTGATGCAATCACAGCTCGCTGCAGTCTCAACTTCTTGGGCTCAAGCAATCCTCCCACCTCCCAAATAGCTGACAGGCACCTGCCACTGCCCCCAGCAACTTAAATTTTTTTTGAAGATGGGGATCTCACTATGTCGCCCAAGCTGGCCTTGAACTCCTGGGCTCAAGCGATCCTCCTACCTCAGTGTTGGGATTACAGGTGTGAGTCATTGCACCCAGTCGTTATTACTTTGTATAATCAGAAAGTTATTTTATAATCAGGGGAAATAAAAAACATCTGGTATTTGTTATCTGAGAGGCACAAAATCGTGTGGATAAGCACACAGATTCTAGATTCAGCTTTCCTGGATTTTGGCTTCAACTCAGCCAAGTTAATGGCTGAGTTAGTCTGGGCAGGTTACTGGCCAATGGAGGAAACCGTACCTCAGTTTCCCTCATTGTAAAATCCAAATAACCATAGCTCAGGTTTACTGAGAGGTTGTTATGTGCCAGGCAGTTTGTTTTACGTTAATCATTGGGCTGAATGCTCACAACCGCCCTATTAAGTAGGTGCTCTTATTATAAAATGGGTCACAGGCATAGGCAGGGAGGGAGGCAGGGCAGGGAGTCCGAGACCATGAGCGCCCCCTGGAGTAGAGCTGGGAAGCTACAGCAGAATTGGGAGGCAGCGCAAACGCAGAACGGGTGGGAGGCGTGGCGAGAAGTAGCGGGAGTTTTTGCCCCCACTACGATTGGCTGGTGTAATTGTCATCCCTTGAAAAGGCAGCCAATGAGAGGCGCGGCCGCTTCGCCCTACGAAGCCGCGGGCTGAGCGAAGTGAGGTGCGGCGAAACCCAAGGCGCTCGGGCGACAGCGGGAGCCACGGACCCCGAGGCGGGTGAGGGGACCCTGGTGTCGCTCCGTCTTGAGAGTGGCCCCAGCGTCGTTGCTACTCTGTTTGGCAGACCCCAGCATCGTCCTCCTTTTCCTGAGAATATCCTGGCATCAGTTGCCCGTTCCTGAGGGGGACGCTTGGCGTCATTCCTTTTTTCCGAGTGATCCCAGAGTCGTCCTCACTTCCTGAGGGGAATGCTGGCGTCATCCCCCTTCTTGAGGGGGTCCTGCTGTCAGTCCCCTGTCCTCATGGCCGGCACCGCATTGTCCTTTCCTCCTGCGGGAAACGCGGGTGTCCTCCCCTCTTTCTGGAGGGACCCTCATGCCATTACCCCTTCCTGAGGGGACCCCAGAGCAGTCCCCCATCCCTCAAGGCTTCCCAGCGTTGTTCCTTCTTCCTGAGATGGAACCTGGTGCTGTTCTCCCGTTTCCATAGTGTATCCTGTCATTGTCCTCCCCACGCTCAGAAGGGATCTGTCATCCCCCCTTTTTCTGAGATCAGTTCCTTCCTCGCTTCCAGTTTAAAGCAAAGGCTTCGGTGGACCCGTAGATGGGAGAAGGCCCAAAGACCCCCTTCCCTGTGCTTCCTTGCCCCCAGTTGAGCAGAGGGGAAGGAAAGACTCAGCTCACCCCCAGAAGATGGGGAGAACCAAAACGAGCTGATAAAGAAATTCACTATGTCACACGTGGTGGCGGCGCCTGTAATCTCAGCTACTCCGGAGGCCGTAGCAGGAGAATCGCTTGAACCTGGGAGGCGGAGGTTGCAGTGAGCCAAGATTGTGCCACTGCACTCCAGCCTGGGTGACAGAGCTAGACTGTGTCTCAAAGAAAAAAAAAATTAGTTGGGAAAAAAATTTTTTTCTCCCAGCCAGGCTCCGAGAATTAAAAAAAAAAAAAAAATTAGCTGAGCATGGGCTTGTCTGTAATTCCAGCTACTCTGGAGGCTGAGGCAGGAGAATTGCTTGAACCTGGGAGGTGGAGGTTGCAGTGAGCCACTGTACTCCAGCCTGGGTGACAGAGCAAGACTCCGTCAAAAAAAAAAAAAAAAAGGTGGCACCATAAAATCAGTTACAGCCCTGAGCAGTGGATATGGTGTTGGTGCTCAGAGGAGGGCGGGTCCTTTAAATAGGGAACTTCCTCAAAGCATGTGCAGTTTTATTTGATTTATAAGAAATATCATTTGTCGGGCCGGGCGCGGTGGCTCAAGCCTGTAATCCCAGCACTGTGGGAGGCCGAGGCGGGTGGATCACGAGGTCAAAAGATCGAGACCATCCTGGTCAACATGGTGAAACCCCGTGTCTACTAAAAATACAAAAAATTAGCTGGGCATGGTGGTACATGCCTGTAATCCCAGCGACTCAGGAGGCTGAGGCAGGAGAATTGCCTGAACCCAGGAGGCGGAGGTTGCGGTGAGCCGAGATCGTGCCATTG